CCTCATACGCCCGTGAGCGCCTGTCAACACATTCGAATGTCTCGCTTGCTTCACACAACCGGTCGCGGCCCGGGTCACATGTCTTTCCTATCTTCCATTCCAGCCTATCATATGCTCTGGTGCGCGATTTTGCATACCCACCGATACATCCCCTCCATTATGGTCCGCTGCCTCCCCGGGCATCCGTAGCTTCCACCCCGGCCAGTGAGCCACGACGCCTGTCTGACCCCCCGGCTCCGTGGGATAGTTCGCGTGGGCAGTGGTCTATGGGCCCCTGGAGCACTGATCACAGTTACGGGCATCAGCAGCTGCCTGCCATGTCCTTTGGCGATGGTCCGCCATACAGCGAAGACGAAGACTTACACAGTCCAGTTTTCTCCACGCCCCATCATCGGAAGAACAAGTCCACTGGCACCGATTCTAATGGGCGCAGGAGCCGGAAGTTCAATCGTGCACACGGAAGTGTATATTATGAGAATGACGCCGAACGGGGCACGCTCGTCAGCATGAATCCGGATGGCAGCGAGACTTACTATGTGAATGACGACGACCACGATGATATGGACGATGGCCCCGGGGGCGAGTATGTCACCTACCCAGCTAACGAAAGCCGGTTTTCCCGAGCGGGCGATTACGGCAATGACCAGGCTTATGGACACGAGGGTGACTTCGAATCCGAGGACGATTATGAAACACATCGGTATTCGCGTGATTTTCAATTTGCGGTGGGATGTCCCGACGAAGAGATGCATGGCAAAGCGGTTGCGCTCTTTGATTTCACACGCGAGCACGAGAATGAGCTGCCTCTGACCGAGGGGCAAGTGATCTTCGTGTCATACCGGCACGGTCAGGGCTGGCTGGTAGCGGAGGATCCCCGGACCGGCGAGAGTGGATTGGTTCCTGAGGAGTTCGTCCGGCTGCTCCGTGATATCGAAGGCGGGTTGACGTCGTTGAACGGCGAGCCCGATCCGGAAGATGAAGACGAGGGTCATCAGCATACGTACCATGATCCGGCCTCGAATAGAAGCTCTCATCAACAGACGATACCATCTGCCACGAACGAGCAACAGGCCCAGCAACAAGACCCGCCGAAAGCAACTCGTGAAGCTGTCATGAACGGAGAGAAAGGGGAAGAAGGTGCTCACAAGTCATCGTCGCTTAGCGGTGGCAACACTGATTCGAACCTGTCACATTTGAGCGCATCAGAAAAGCAGGGTATCGATGTCCCGACCGAGAAGAACAGTCACATTCAGGCCTGTTAAAATTAATTCCCCCACTGTATATGTCCCCCCCTCCTCTAACCCAGTTATCCTCCCTCGACGTACCTGGCCAAGGTACGGTATTAAGAGAAACGGCCTCCCAAACATATCCCTCCAAGACCCCTTTCTGGCTTTACCCTCCATCCTGGCCCCAGTCAAACCTGGCCATGCCATAAGAGACGGAGCGAACAGAAGAGAAAGAAAGGAAGCTGGTCGTCCCTAATTGCATCCATCCTGCATATCTGTTTCCCAATCTGTTTACTTATTGACACCCCCCATATCATAACCTACTACGCTATATTATTGTTCTTCGTTCCCCGGCTGGAACTACTGTGATCTCAAATATATTTCTCTTCCTTTTCTCCTCCACTTCCTCGTTTACACATAGCAACAACAACCACTTCCGCTAGCCTTGGTGAAACAACATTTTCCACACACGCCACACGCAACGTATACGGTACAATTCATACATGGGGTATTATGATATCAATTCTTTTTCTTCTTTGCTTTCTTTTTCCGACTACCCTGATGTTTTCCTTCAGTTGTGTTTCGCAATCACGTTTCTTCTTTAGCGTGGGAGGAAAATCCGTCATACCTTGTTTTGTGTTTATTTTGATTCTGTCCACGGACAACTGTAGTGTTATTTCTCTCCACCAATGATAAAGAAGGAGTGTGTGTATGAACCGGCATACGAGGCTTAGTTTTCTCTTCTTTATGTATCCTCTTCTCAAACTAGAAAGAAGAAAATGGACACATGATTAGTGTAGTAGTCACATCTATTCATTGTCGCGTCCCACCGGGGGGGAGGGGGGGCAGTAGACCCGGTAGATTTACTGCATTACTATACACCGCCGCGTCAATCTAGGTCTGTATGTGTCCCGGGCCATTGTTGATGTATACGGTACAAAATCCACGGACTTAACTCGGGACTATATCTAGCTCCCCCGCATAAGCGGGAAGATAGATGTATGTACATCAATCGCATGGATGAGAAGCCCTTTAAAGTCTACGGACACAACACAACAGCCGCAAAGCAAAGCTCAGCTTGAAAGGCTAGCCAGCATTCATCATCCCTTGCTTTCCTATATCTAACCTCCCCTCCCCCCCAGCCCCCCCTACCAAATCATCATCTAAGCAACAGAAGCAAAGCGAAAGCAACATAAGTATCTCCCAAGTATAGACACAGACAAGATACCACAAGAAATAGAGCAGAAAAGAAGAAGAAGAAGAAGAAGAAGAAGAAGAAGAAGAAAAATGCTTGCTATTTTGTAAGCGACAACACGAAGAAAAAAAGAAACGCGAAAATCTCTCGAGATGATTTTTTCCAGAACAAAAAAAAAAAGCAATCATACATCGGTATAACGTATAACATTGGCCCAAGAAAGAAGATAGTAGAAGAAAAGAAAGAAAAAAGGCAGTAGTCATCCCGTCTAGCCTAGCAAATCATCAAACGCCGAACTACCACCCGTCGACTTTGCGCCACCGCCGTACTGGCTCTGCGATGGCGAGGTCACATTGCTCGTGGCGGGGGCGCCCCAGATCCCAGCGCTGGCTTTCTCCTTGGCCATGCTGGCGAGGTTGGGCCCGCGGCTGGCGTTGGCGTTGGCCTTTGCGAGACCGGCGCTGGCGCTGGCAGAGGACCAGATGGATCCGAAGGCGTCGCCGCCGGAGGGTTTGGAGGCGGCGGCGGCGGTGGGCTTGGATCCGGCAGAGGCGGTGGTCGTGGTGGAGGTGAAGGAGGAGGTTGAGGGCATGCCGGGCCGGTGGCCGGAGACGATGTGGCCGCCGCCGCCGCCGCCGCCGCCGCCGCTGAGAGGAGGCTGGCCGGCGGAGACGGAAGTGAAGTAATTGGGGGTGGCGGCTTGGAAGCCGCTGGGTCTGGGTTGAGCTTGGGCGGGCTTGTGCGGTTGCGCCAGAGAGCTTTGGGACAGGGTGGGCGAGGCGACGGTGCTCGAGGTCGGGGTCGGCGTCATCGACGTGAATCCGACGATGCCGCTCAGGTTCGATCCTTGGGTGCCGGATACAGGCTTGGGCGCGGCGAATTGCGTGCTGGAGGTCGTGCTGACGGTGGATGCGGGACCGGGGATGGAGAATTGCGCGGAAGATGCCGGGGCGGGCGCCGGGGTGGCAGATTGGAAGTCGTCGAAGTCATCGTCGTCGCCGGTGGTGGTGTTGAGGATGTCGAAACCGCTGCTAGCACTGGCTCCCGCGGGCTGTTTCGACGTGGACGCTGTCGTTGTGGCCGACTCTTCGCTGAAATCAAATAGGTCGGCCTCGGGCGCCTTGGGCTTCGGAGGCTCCGGTTGCTTCGCTGGACGAGCGCGAGGGCTAGCTGCACGGCGCCGTGCGGGAGCGGCATCGGCCTCATCGTATTCATCATACTCATCGAAGCGGTTCGAGCGACTGCCGGAATCGTTGAAATCGCCGGTGTTGCCTCCGAAGCCGCCGCCATCGCCATATACACCACCACTGTATCCACCGAAGGACAGACTTTCGCTGCCAAAGCCTCCGTATCTGCCCGAGCCAGAGCTCGACATCCCACCGCTGATGTGTGAACCTCCCTCAAACCCGCCGAATTTGTTCTTGTTGGTCCGCGCCTTCTTCCTCTCTGAGCGAATCAAGTCGACATCACCGAGCAGCTTGACCAATTCCGACGATCGATTGCGTACGTTAATACCCTGGTCCTTTCCGTTCTGATCGATGAAGTGGAATTGGCGAAGCATGCGGAGGAGTGACATGTGGGAGCGCGCATCATCAACAACGCGCTCGGAACCATTCTTGACCAAGAATTCCAGAAGCTGGAGAGCCTGGTGTCCGCGAAGAAGTCAACCGTCAGCCAGGTCCCCCCGAGGAAATGTTGACAAAAAGTTGTCGAAGACAGCGAGCAAAACTGACCTTGTAAATCTGTCGCCATTCCTCGGCAGTCTTGTCCGTGAAGCGCTTGTAAATCATAGGCATAATCTCATTAAGCAATTGACTGTGTGCATCGGCGTCTTATCAGCAACTATACTCTCACCAATGAATGCGACAGGGGCCGGGGGGCGACTGACTAGCTGTGGGTTCCGCTCGCAATTTCGTGCATCAGTGAGTTGGAAGCACCCCATGGCTCATTGTTCGTAGCTTCGCGAACCTGCTTGGTGTAAGTGCGGTGCTCATCACCACCACGGCCTTTGTCCGGAAATCAGGAGAGCGGGGCGGAAGTGCCGGGGAGAGGAGCGACGGACCTTGGCCTCCATTTCAGTGTAGTTCATGACAGCTAAAGCAGTTAATTACATTGTTTGACCCGACGGGAACGTGTTACAGGCAAGCAAGCAAGAGAGCTGGCGCATTAGAAATGGGCTTCGCCAAAAGGAGACCTACCATTCTGGACCTTGCGGACACCCGCCTTGAGATCATACAAGGTCAGGTTGCTGACCTGGTCTTTGAGACTGGAGAAATCCATGGCGCCTTGATTTCAACACGCGATCAAATGACGGTCAACAAACGAGAAGCACGGGGAATAAAATGGGAAGTTAGCCAGTGAAAAGGAAGTGAACGGGGTCTCTTAGAGGGGGATTGGAAAGTAGGACATGTTCATCAACTCCAGCTGGCATCGATCGCCGTTTGGGCCCGAAGACGTCACGTGGCAGCCCCTGACCCGACTATCGCTGCGTCATCCTCTTCTGACTCGATCTACTCATGTACATAGTACTACTGTACGTAGGACTTACAACAACTATTTCTGAACCCCAATTTCAAGAACCGGGATTGACCATGACTCATTATTGTTTCCACGGCAGTCAAGCATGCAATACGTACAGCTTAGCATAAAAGCTACACACATAAGATCATCAAATCATCATAGAATAGACATGCACTCAGTATCATCCAAGGACAAAGGGGCAAAACAAAGGCATAACAACGAACACGAGGGGTAATCATCGAAGATAAGGAGCTCGTCTCTGTGCATCAAACTCGCCGAGCTCTCGTCATGTTCAACATGCTATAACAGGAAAAGACGTGGGATATCACAATAGCATAAGAGGGTAGAAGATATAGAGAGAAAATGAAAAGAAAAGAAACAACATCATGTTGCGAGGTCCTCAATTATTCATTGTAGAACTTCCTCATTATGAGATGCAAGAAAAGGTTGACGTTCACCCGAAGCTGTCCGTCGAAGAAGTCAAGAAATTGCATGTTGTTGAACTGGGCCTGGAGCAAATCATCCAATGGTACCTGGGCGTTGGCACCTGGAATCATCATCGGACCACTGCTGCCATCCAGAGTAAAAACACCAACTTCATTACTCGAGATCGTGAGGTCGACACGGTCCCATTGGCGCTCGGTGTATCCTTTCCAGTGCACAAGAACACCCTTGTCGGCCAGGTTCCGAGCCGAGTACTTGTAAGAGCCAAACTTGAAAACCTTGCCCGATTTCTGAAGCTCACGTTGGTGGTCCCATTGCTTGGTGAAAGGCATAAGGAACCTCTTCTTCCCCTTCTTGTTCTGCAGGGTGATCATCGCCTGCTCAATATAGTCATTGTACGTCTTCAGCTGCTGATCCAGCCAGACAGCTTGGTCATTGAGACGTGCAAGCGTCATTCGTGCGCTATCCAACTCTCGCTCCCGTTGAATTCTCCGGCGGTGCTTGGTCCGGATATCAATAGCGATCGCGTTCAAGAGATCCTGGTAGTAGTTGTCACGGCGGATCTTCCCAGTCTGTTCGAGGTGCAAGATATTCTCAAGTGCCGTCCGCTTGAGCTCGGAGTAACTCATGGAAGCAATGTCCACCATCGTGTTGGCCTCCGCATATGCGCTTCGCCTGGTGTTGTTTGCACTCAGTTCATCGCGCACCAGCATCATCCATTTTTCCTCGTCTTCGTCGGTGGGTGGCTTGACCATGATCTCCAATAAGTTGGCACCCGTTTGAACTCTGATGATGTACAGGATGCATCGTTTTGTTTCCATGAACAAAGCCTTGACATCTGCCTCAGGGTCTGGATCGCAAGTCAGCTATCAACACGCATTGGCCGGAATTCAAAACAACTCACCTTCAACCTGTGCAAGCTTTGGATTCAGTGTGAGACTGATTTCAGAGGAGTTGACACTCATTAACTCGCTCTCATTGGATTTCACATTTCCGAGGTCACGGATGACTTCTTTCAGGATATCATCTTGGGTTGGGCACATGTACTGTATCTCACTGGCGACGAGTTGATGGATGGAGAAGATATCCGCCATCTTGATGTACAAGGTGGGCTTCGTTTTGGCGTAGAGATCATTAAACTCATCGATGTCGAAGTAATCCTCTGCATTCTGAACAGAGATCACTGTATAACAGTCAGTACCGGAAGAGAATTTTGTCCATGTTTCTACTCACTGTCACCCCAGGTCTGGCCAAGCCGTTGAATGGAGTCACCGATGTAATTGTTCAAGGGCTGGAGGTAGACATTCTCCGCACCGAAAAGTCGTCCGGAAGCTACTTGCGCAATCACCTTGGCAATCTCAGAAAGGTTTCGCTTCTGCTCTTGAGTCAAACCTCGATCCACCACACCGTACTTCTCGGGTTCGAAAATGGCAGGCTGGAAATAATTCCTCCATACCCAATGGCCGACAGTTTGGAGGATAAATCCAGGGTCTTCGTTGGAAAATCTTGATAGCAAGCTCTCATATATCTCTTTTGCGATATACCGAATACCGAAGGGCATCCGATAAAGTAGCTCTTCAAAGGCAGAAAAAAATTGATCGGCAATATCACGAAGGTCCTGAAGGTTTTGAATGAAAGTCGCCCTGGTTTCGGGATCTCGAATGGCCTCCTCTCGGGGGATATCAGGTCGACGCCTGCTTCTCTTCCCAGTCCGCAGTTCCTCATTATTAATGGCTGAACGATAGATCTGCATTGGGTCACTTTCCAGGTCCAGTTCCGGGTTTTCGATGATGTTCTCTCGAACGACAGGTCCCAGCGTGTCCCGCATGAACTTGCGGTCTCGGGGAGACTTGATATAAGATGCGAAGAGTTTGTTCCAGAACGCATTGCAGCGCAAGTATTCATGCAGCGAGTCGAAGCTCTCAATCTCTTCTCGCGCTGAACGTGCGAGCAGCCTGATCAAGTAGTACTCCTCTCGCCTCTTCTGCGAATAGCCAAAAAGCCCCATCATCAGGTGTCTGATCCGCTCGTATTCCTTCTCGGAGGTGTTGAGCTCACGCAGACGCCGGAAGAGCTTGGCCAAGTACTGCGATTGGGTCTGAAGAAGGAAGAAGAACACCTGATATTGTTCAAGTTTTCTCCTTGACGTCTTGTTCAGGGCCTTGAGATCGAAGGGGTCTGTGGACGAGATCTCTCTGTTGGGCAGCAGGCTACCAACGTGACCGCCGAAGTGCTTTTGGTGCTTGACGACTTCATCAAGGGTGATCTTGTTCTTTACCAGCAGAGCGATCTTGATATCGAGCTGACTAATGTACTGTTCCGCTAGCTCGTTTTGTCGAACTTGCTGAACTACCAACTTTCTTGTTCGCTCAAACTCAATCTCCTCGTCGAAGTCAAATTCGCTGTCATTCAATAGGTGCACGAAGCCTTTAACAGTCCCTACTGGAGGATTCTTGCCGGTAGTAAGACTCTTGTATGCTTGACCCTGAATTCTTCCTCGCACATAACTTTGCGCCTTGATAACCTTTTCCATATTTTGGCGATAATATTGACGTTTCTCTTCGAATTTCGAGCGGACTAGGTATCCACGTATGTGCGATTGGAGCTCAATGACAACATCTTCTTCGGCAACAAGGTCTGCCAGCATTTGGCCAACTTCAACCCGGATCAGCATCGCTCGAATTTGTGCCTGCAATTGGCTGACTTCATCCTCACAGTCCTCAAGCTCGTCCAGATCTCCGCCAACCTTGATTCTGAGAACTGCCGCACGAGCGAGAGCCTGGAGATGTGTGATCACCATTGCTTCATCCTGCAAGGCCTCGGCGTCGGCTGCCAATCGTCTCCTGAGGATGGAGCCTCGACCCATAGATTGTAATTTCAGGATGGAAGTCTCTGCTTCTGCCAGTGCTGCTTTTTGCGACCGGATTTCAGACCGGATCACATTCGCTCTCGCTCTGCTCTGAAGTAGAATTGCCGCCTGGGTATGTTCATTAAGGTCCTGTCGAAGCTGCTGAAGGGCTGTTCTCACTGCCCCACCACGAGCCAGTGATTGAAGCGAGACGCAGTCGCTGGTCGTCTCCTCAAGTGCTACCGCTTGTTGATGCTGACACTCTCTTAGTGCACGGCCTCGAGCAACCGCTTGAATAGTAGTAATGGCGGTCAACTCAAGGGCGAGCGCTTCCTTGATCTCAGCAATGGACTTTCTCATCAGCATCCCGCGAATCTTCCCTTGTAGAGACACCGTGGACGCTTCAGTGCTACTGATCTCTGCGTTCTGCACATTCACCTGCTGCCGTAAGATGCCGGCTCTGATGATTGACTGGAGTGCTGTTATTTCATCTCCCGCCGACCGTGTGGCTTCATGCAGTTCAGAGACTTGGCTGCGTTGCAGAGTACCTCGGATATGTGCCTGTAGTGCCGTGATACTGTCTTCCACGGAGCGTAGAGCTTCACTCTGCTGTGAGACTAGGCTGCGTTGCAGGGCACCTCTGATATATGCTTGAAGTTTCGCGATATTGTCCTCAGCGGAATGCGCGGTTTCGTATTGCTGCGAGACCTGGTTACGTTGCAGAGCTCCTCGGATAATCGCTTGAAGTGCGGTGATGCTGTCCGCAGCGGATTGAACAGCTTCCAGCTGCGTTGAAACTTGACTGCGCTGGAGAGCACCCCGGATAGCAGCTTGCAGTAGTCGGACCTCATTTTCCGCGAATCTTGTATCCTCGTACATCTCTGATACAGTCTTGCGCTGCAAGGCTCCTCTCATCGCCGCCTGAATCTGTTTGATGCCGGATTCCTCTTTCCGAATCTGATTTCGCAAATAGTCAACGTCGGCCCTTGCTTTGGCGCCACGAATGAGGCTTTGTAGCTGCATGATACCCGTTTCGTTGGCCTGGTGGTGTTTCTGGACACTACTCTGGCGGCTTCGCACAAGGAATGCTCGGCAAAGCGCTTGAAGATTTGTGGCAAAGGTCTTCATGTCCAAGCGATATTGAATGATTTGACGGGCCCAGTCAGCGCGAATCCGGGATTGCAATTCCACCAAGAAAGGTTCAAAGTCCCAAAGGTCATTCATAAGGTTTCCCAGCTTCAAGCGCGTCATTGCGCCTCTAATTTGAGCTTGGAAATCAGCAATTGACGCTTCGCTCTCGTGCAACTCGCGTTGGATTCTCTCCTCTTCGGATTCTGGCTCCGGCTCCGGCTCCGGCTCAGGTTCTGCCCCGAAATTCGCAGCCATTCCCGAAAAGCTAGGCATGCTGACACCAGCCTTATCGAGACCCTTCTGTGTTTGCTCCAGCTCGTGGTGTTCGAATTCAAGCTGGCCTACGAGATTTCCCATGCGAAACTCAACAAGGCCTTTCTTGAACAGCAGCCATGATAGGGCATGAACGCAGTGTATGACTTTGGGAATATTCTTCTTCTCATATAGATCAATCAGCTCGAACCTGAAAAGTTCGGGCAATTCCACATCATCCAAGAATCGGAAAAACATGGCGATATTATCCGAGTGTCGATATTGAAGTTTCGGATGTCTGAATATTCGAAACGTCCGGTTGGGATTCATCGCTTGTACCACTTCTGCAAGCGTCACACCATCGCGAAGAGCTTCCTCTAGTTGCACGATCGGAGGGATTTGCTTCTGGATAACTTCCTCGATCCACTCTTTAGCTTCTCCAATATGGCACAAGTATTCGTAAGCCTGTAGGAATTGTCGCTGTTTGTCCATCCAATTGCCTGCCGCCCAGGCCGACGCGGGCTTCTTGCGCACGATGCTGGAGCCATCTTTTTTAGCCACTGAGTCTGCTCTCTTCAAACGCCGTCGTCCTTGCAGTCCTATCACAGAAGAGCTGTAGGTATCAAGGCCGAATTCATCTGTTTCTCCCGCTTTTGCGAATTTCGAGAGCGTCCGCAGGTGACCTGTCGATGATTTCTGGAATGTTTCGAGCTCAGGCGCCGAAAGGGTATGCGTGATTGGTGCAGGACTGGACAAGCTATGAGAATGTTGCGGTTTCATGTGGGGTCGCGTGTGAGGTGAAACAGTATGCGGTTGCATATCAAGAGGCACTTCGCTTTTGGTAGGTGTTGTTGAGGCGTGCGAGTCCGTATCTTTCAATTCTTCGATGTCATGATGAAATGTGTTACGAGAGGTAGGTGTTTGGGGACGATTTTCCTTCCAGTACTGCGGATGGTCGACAGTCTGGCTGCGAGAATGGCGGTAAATGGACTGTTTATTCGAGGGGGGCGATGCATTAGGTGCTTGAGAGAGTGGCCGCAAAGAACGGCGAATGTTCTCGTATGTTGCGCCCGCGTTGGACAAAGTTCCCACTTCGGAGCGCCCTCCGGCCATTTTGTCGAACGGACTCTTATTCAGTTCACTCTTCCCTCGTCTATGACTGATACTGGGCATCGATCCGATTGATGCAGTCGATGAGACAGTACTGGTGCGACTGGGGGCGAGGGAATTGGTGGAGGCAGTGTAGATAGACGAGCTTGTGGATGCTGTTGATCCATGGCGGAGTGGACTCGTTGTTGTTTCGTCTGCGAAATCCGTCTGCGTACGTCGGAGACTGGCTAGGTGGCTTGACATAACGGATGCCGTTCCGTGGACGAGATTGCTAGAACCAATGAAAATATAAGATACTCGATCTCAATTGGCCGCATACCTGCTTCTCCAAGCGAAGCAGTGAAACGGTATTGAAGGTAGATGTATAGGAATATGTGTGTCAATTTGACGAAGGCGGAATGTTCATTCAAGGACTTCTTCAGCTGGCAGGGCAAAGCGGCATGGTCCTATGGTAACCGGGGGAATTGGGCGGGAATTGGTTGATGCAGAAACGGAAGTCTGATTGGGCTGGAAACCACCGATTCACTGCAGGGAAATCCGGTGTTCAATTGGAGACTGAATCACAAACAAGGGCTGTCGATTGTAAAAGGGCCAGACAAATTGCGCCGCTGTGAAATGGAACGAACTCCCTTACCAGCGGGAATGCTAAACTGAAGGAAGAGGCTGAAGCGGCAGTGAGAAACGTGAGAAACAAGAGGGAGGGAAGATTGATTAATCGGCAAGCAAGCGGGGGAAGGTAGGGAAGGGACGGGCAATAGTCTACTAAATCGGAGGCAGGAACGGACCCCCCCAGCCTCAGCCGAGTCGAAAACAAATCTCCCGATCAGGTATGGTGGGCACGGACATGTGACCGCGCCCCGATTACGATCGGAGTGACGTCGATCATCATTGCTCCAGCCACATCAATTCCGGTTTCAAGGTTTCAACAAGTCATATCCAAGATTACTGTTTCAGCTGAGATCAAAGGAAGAAGAAAGGAACTGGTATCCTCGTGCAAGGTCTGATCTACGACCATACAGGAATCTCCCACAGAGATGCACGTGCGAGTTTGAGAGGTTTGGCTCAACTTGCCCTGCTCAATATACGCGGGCGCCATGGATGGTTGTTCCTTGTTGCGAAAACCCGGGCACAGCGGGCACGGATATATAATCCACCTGGATGGACGCGCCCAGGCACCAAACTCAATCAAGTTACCATGAATGGTTTGGCTGTTGGATTTGCCATGTTACACCCGCATGTTCTGGCTACTACGATGAGGGTTTAGTGCGATTGTCTGATTTCTCAAAGGTTGGGCCGAAGTAGAAAGGCAGGACATAGAATAAACCGCAGCGCTGGTAAGCGACGGAGTTTAACTGCAATGATATTCTACCGTATTCACCCATGCTTGAAACTGATGCATATCAGCATCCTGCCAGTATGCACCATTCGAGATGTAGGAAGCGACTACCAATGGGATTTGCGGGACAATGTCAGACAGGTGGCCACGGAGACCCGAGAGCGGGCTTAATTGGATTCGATTCGCTATACTACACGAAGGTATGCTTTAGATTTTGATAAAACAATGTGATTTCTTGCAGTGCGGTGGTTAGACACATATGATGGGGCTAGCTCCAGTACAGATTGACCGAGAGACTTTTTCAGAGGTATTCTCCTAATTGGTGCCATTATCATAACCGGAATGCACCCTGATTAACACCCGACAATCTCAATAGCCTTACGACGAAATGCTCTTGAACAGAGCCAGACTGTTAGTACTCAGGACGGAACAATGCCGACTGTTCATTAGGCCGGGAGCCGTTAAGCCTATGCCATGCATACATAGCGCGGGCGGATGCTGGCAACTAATTCTTATCGGGAACTGACGGCCGATTAGTTACAAGTACTACGTTGGTACTGTACCACTCAGACCGCTAGTCTTTGGCGGAGGTCTGTCTGATGGTTTCAGCTAATGTCACAAGCAAATACAAGGTCCATTGGGGATACAGTGGTACAGTAGCAATGGTTGAATGGGGAAGGGGTGGTACCGTAGTACTGCCTAACTAGTCACCTAGTGAGTACTAGACATGAACCGAACGGAATCTGCCGAAAAAAATTTGATGCTCCTCACTAAGAAATCTCTAAGCGGGCGAGAACCGCTGCCGAGTGAGAGTCTGACTCACCGCCCACCGAACACTTCGTTTAGCATCCAATCACGATGACAAATCTATCGAGAGCGGTGGCGCTAGACTGATTGCGGCATGGCACCGAGCAGGCGCCCCCCGATTAGCGTGTGCGGCGAAGAGCTCAAAAGCCAATTTTTTTCTCCTCGGATTTTTCTCTCTTTTTCTTTTCTTTCTTTTCTTTGGGAAAGGAAGACTTTCTCCATCAACAGAACGTTTCGATCGTCGATCTGTTGATTATCATCTTGATTGATCTTTGATCACATTCTCTCTACAAGTTTTGATAGAAGCTGTAGAGTCTTTTTCACATACACCATGACTTTTGCCAACGGTGACATTCCTGGACCGGCCATGAAGGCTGAGATCCAGGACTACACTAAGGCCCTGGAGGTCCTGCAGAAGGAGTACACCACCAGTGATGGTCTGGATATCGATACCCTGCTTGACTCTGACAAGCACGGTGCTTTGACCTACAACGACTTCCTGATTCTGCCCGGGTACATCGGTAAGGCGAGAATTTGTGCTCATCTCGTCGAACTGGGTTGCTGATGCCTCAGAATAGGCTTTCCTGCTTCAGATGTCACTCTCGACACCGCTGTCACCAAGCGTGTCTCCTTGAAGGTCCCCCTTCTCTCCTCCCCCATGGACACCGTCACTGAGCACAACATGGCTATCCACATGGCTCTCCTCGGTGGTCTGGGTATTATCCACCACAACTGCTCTCCTCAAGACCAGGCCGAGATGGTCCGCAAGGTCAAGAGATACGAGAACGGTTTCATCTTGGACCCCGTTGTCCTCTCCCCTACCGCTACTGTCCAGGAGGCCAAGGAGCTCAAGGCCAAGTGGGGCTTCGGTGGTTTCCCCGTCACTGGTAAGTCGTTACTTGAAATCCCTGCGTATCCTTTCCAACATGATGATCAATCACTTTTTCTTTATAACTTTCGTTCCACTGGAGCAGCGAGAGCAGCACTGTAGAGACCAGTTTTATCTGACCTCAGTTTCAATTATCACTGTCATTATCAACTCTTTGTCTAAGTCATTGATTCTAACATGATGATTGTCTACCACAGAGAACGGAACCCTCCGCTCCAAGCTCGTCGGCATGGTCACTTCTCGTGACATCCAGTTCCACCGCGATCTGGATGCCCCCGTCACTGCCATCATGTCCACCGACCTAGTCACCGCCCCTGCTGGTACCACTCTTGCCGAGGCCAACGAAGTCCTTCGCTCCTCCAAGAAGGGCAAGCTCCCCATTGTCGATACCAACGGCAACCTCGTCTCTCTCTTGTCTCGCAGTGATTTGATGAAGAACCTCCACTACCCCCTTGCCTCCAAGCTTCCTCAGTCCAAGCAGCTGATTGCTGCTGCTGCTATTGGTACTCGTGAGGAGGACAAGACCAGACTCAAGCTGCTTGTCGAGGCTGGTCTCGACATTGTCATCCTGGACAGCAGCCAGGGTAACAGCATGTACCAGATTGAGATGATCAAGTGGATCAAGCAGAACATCCCCGAGATTGATGTCATTGGTGGTAACGTTGTTACCCGTGAGCAGGCTGCTGCTCTCATCGCCGCTGGTGTCGATGGCCTGAGAATTGGCATGGGCAGTGGCAGTGCTTGCATCACCCAGGAGGTCATGGCTGTCGGTCGTCCTCAGGCTGCTTCCGTCCGCAGCGTCTCCAACTTCGCCGCTCGCTTCGGTGTTCCCTGTATCGCCGACGGTGGTGTCCAGAACGTTGGTCACATCGTCAAGGGCCTGGCTATGGGTGCCTCCACCGTCATGATGGGCGGTCTCTTGGCCGGTACCACCGAGTCTCCTGGTGAGTACTTCGTCAGCAAGGAGGGTCAGCTTGTCAAGGCCTACCGTGGTATGGGCAGCATCGCCGCCATGGAGGACAAGAAGGCTGGTGCTGGTGCTAAGGACAGCAAGGCCAGCAACGCTGGTACTGCCCGCTACTTTTCCGAGAAGGACTCTGTCCTCGTCGCCCAGGGCGTTGCTGGTTCCGTCCTTGACCGTGGATCGGTCACCAAATTCGTTCCTTACCTCACCGCTGGTGTCCAGCACTCTCTGCAGGACATTGGTGTCAAGAGCCTGAAGGATCTCCACGATGGTGTCAACCAGGGCAAGGTTCGCTTCGAGATGAGAAGTGCCAGCGCTATGGCCGAGGGTAACGTCCACGGTCTGCACAGCTACGACAAGAAGCTCTACTCTTAAGCGGTGATAGCTTAATTGTTTTGTTTTTGTCTTATATACCTTTTTATGCCTTCTTATTCTCTTGCATCTAAGAACCGTTTACCCTGTTTATATGATTGGTTATATGATGCTACGTGGTTGCTACGAAAAATAAAAAGCCTGGGCACGAGGGACTGGAGTTTGACGAGGAATAGTTCATACCTTGCTTTATGATAATTCAATACATTTTTAAGAAATGGTTCTCTCCATTAGACTACAACTTCTTTTTTATTTATTGTAGCCATAAATCTAGAAGACTGTAAGTATGTCTGTAGCCCTTCGACAGCCCTACGAGTGCTTCAATCTATAGCCTCGGCCCTTACGATAAGCCCGAACGCGGGGTAGACCGCTTTCAAGCCGATCGTTCGTGGCTGCTTGCTGCTGCCAGGGCACTTTCCCTCCCTGCCCGTAGATCAAGTATTCGCTCGGTCCAACCATCACCTTCCGCTGAAAAGCCCCTGGACCGTGTCTACACACAGCGGCCATGAACCCAAACCCGCTGGTTGTCTCCAGCTGTACTCCCCGGTTAATGAACTCGACTTCCCCTCACCGCGTCGCACTCGCCCGAGGTCCCCGGCTTCCAGCTTCTGGAAAGTATACCCCCCGGCCTCTCACATGCTCCAATGACTACACACTGCAAACCACATGGAGAGCAAGCTCCAATGTCCCAAGATTCCAGCAGGCTGCTGCTACCCAAACTATGTCGTTTGCAACATCCAAACAGAAACCCAGCCCTGCGGTTCCGCGGCCCAGTTCTAGGTAGGCACATAGAATTCGCAGACATGGAGTTTACCCCCGCTTGTTCATATTGTTAATCAAGTCTTGTTCCCGCCACTGATCCCCGTGCAGCGTCATCCTGGTATCGCCCAGAAACGAGATCCTCCTGCTTCACCGTGTCAAAACCTCGACCTCATTTGCCTCCGCCCATGTATTCCCTGGAGGCAACCTCTCCGCTCAAGATGGGCAATGCCCACCCGCTGAGGATCAAGAGCGCCACGACGACGGTCCCTGGTACCGCAACGCAGCGATTCGAGAGCTCTTCGAGGAGAGTGGCATTCTCCTCGCAAAGGATAATGTCTCCGGCAAGATGATCTCCGTCCCCGAAGAACAACGCGAACCGGGTCGACGCGCGATCCATCAGAACCAGACCACTTTTTTAGAGTGGTTGAGGCAGCAGAGTCTCAATGCGGTGCCGGATACAGGTAAGACACATGCCTAGCTTGCACTTTACTACATTTGAAGAGACAAGAGTTCAACTCCAGTCAAAGTTGTCTTCGCTAACCTAACCCGCCAACAGATGGACTGATCCCATTTACTCGATGGATCACCCCAACTACCAACACCCGACGATATACGACGCAGATGTACCTGTACTTCCTTCCACTTCCTGCGGAGGCTGAGAAGCCGGTCCTCGACGAAATCCCATCCGAGGGACAGCGGGAGGAAATTCAAGTTCCGACGAGCGACGGAGGAGTTGAGGTCACAGAGGCTCGATTCTTGCCTGCCTCGAAATGGCTGCAGATGGCGCAAAAGGGAGACATTATACTGTTTCCGCCGCAGTTCCTTCTGCTGCATCTGGTGGCTGGCTTTCTGGACAAGGAGCCCCGCGTCGCAGCTTCGCTGCAGGAGTTGCGCCGACGGCGGGCGGAGCTTACTGAGTTTGTGAACACCGGTCAGCCGCCTTGGTCGGAGAAGTGTATCTCCCCGAAGATGCTGAGGATGTCCTCTGACGGACGGACGGTGCTGGCGTTGGATCAGCCGGGTCCCGAACTCAGGGGGACGGATAAGCAAGGGGAGACGGAACGGGTCGTGCTTGTGAGATTCAAGCGAGGGGAGGCGCGTGACTTGGAGGTGCGGTGGAAGAAGGATGCATTCGAAGGCGAAGCGAGGAGTAATCTATGAGGGCAAGGATGGGAAGTGAATGGCGTCAAGATGGGATTCTCACTAGGAACGAAGCAACTAATCTGTATACAAGCCCGACACATGATTTGACGAGGCACTCTACAACTCAATAGATGGGCCGGTGACTTGAACCCGAATCACTGCCTTTTAAACATGGCCAGCGCTTTTTGTACTTATGATATCTCGAGCGAATCGCTGCTTAACATCCTACCGCTTTTGGGACATAGGGCTCTTCTTTTCATGGCTTGAAGGGAAAGGCAGCTTCGCCTGGCTGTCCTGTAGTGCTTGTCATATCTGAGACAATTCTACGCCGATGGCTAAGATTGGTATGCAAATGGCTCCATGTGTTTGTTGATCGTAGGTACAGCAGTAGGTATAGTCGTACCTCGCGGCCACCCGCACTAACCCCAGTCCGGCAAGGGCTGGCCTTACCTAATCCGCAGCCAGCGTTAGCGGCAAGCCCTCGACAAAGAATCACATGACCCACAACCGGGAAACGCAGAAAGTTGTCCGGGTCACTCATTTCACCCCATCCGCCCACCGTCTCAATTTCCCGCGCACCGCTCCGTTTTTCTCGTCAACCTCAAGTTCCTCACCACCCACCCAACTCGCCAAAATGGAGAACGACAAGGGAGAGATCGTCGATCTGTACGTACAGCTTTTCTCCCCCTCTTTTCTTTTTGTTGTGATGTCCCCAAGGGCATGCGGAAGGTTTTAGGGCAGGATGGCGGAGAACAACCAGACGACAGCAGAGATCATGCGAAAGGAAGGGGAAGAAACTGGGAATGAGCGGAGGAAATGATATGCGATATTCGACCTGGTCCGGTGGTTTTCACATGCAATGGAAATCATTACAGAGATGGGTGAGGGAAACGAAAGAAAAGAGGTGGAATTGAAAACGGACGAAATGTGCATATCATTGATATGCGCATCGAAAAGTCTTTTGTCTGGGCCAAGTCGAAGTCGCATGTCAAAGTCTCTCTGGTCTTGTCGTCTGGGAAAACTCTCCGCTATCGCCGCGTGTGGCCCAGTATCCTGCGCAATTACTCTGGATATTGTCCCTGAGGCGGGGCGCTATGCGCCCACCACATTACCGATGCAGATAACTAACCACGTCTTGTTGTGTCTCTCCAGCTACGTGCCCCGCAAGTGCAGCGCCACCAACCGCATCATCAAGGCCAACGACCACGCCTCCGTGCAGATCTCCATCGCCCAGGTTGACGAGAACGGCCGCTACACCGGCGAGAACCAGACCTACGCTCTGTGCGGTTTCATCCGTGCCCGTGGTGAGAGCGATGACTCCCTGAACCGCCTCACCCAGCGTGACGGCTACCTCAAGAACGTCTGGGCCGCCAGCCGTCAGCGCTAAGCGGACGGATTGACGTCTCGATGGGTGGTGTCCAATTTTTATGTTTTTTTGATGTCGGGTATTTGGTGATGGTAAGTCGTCCCAGACACTGTCGCTTTGCATCTTTCAATCGCCGGTGTCTCCCATCGTCCGCATTCACCTGCACCAGAGAAACATGCTAACCGGATACCGCTACAGGATGAGATGTTATGGTCAACATCATGATATATCTTATATCCAAAAAAGGACTTGAATGAAAGAAAAACTTCAACAAATAAAAACCCCATTATACCCGGCAACAAACCGTCCCTTTTCTTGCCTCTTACCTTCTGATTCTTCTGGAAGAGTCGGTCACATGTAGACCTTTTCCGTTCTTAGTGTTCCCTTCTTCCCTATGTACTTTCCTTCAAGTCTCCCTCCTGAACCGGCATATCAAAACCTTCCTCCCGCCCTTTCGGACTGGATCGATTGGTGCCCCTCCCACGGGGGACTCCAAACATCCAACATCGAAACCCTCTCCCATGCCCGAGGAAGGCCACGACCCAGTAGAGTAGATCTACAGTTCCTACATGCCGGAGATCACATATTCCGCCTGCTGAAGAGCCACTGTCGCAGAGTTCGTGCACTGGGGCACAGATACGGGTGGAACATTTCTAGTTCCTACTTCTAGATTTAGTACTTAGTCTACGCATGCATGCACCTTCCATCCAACCCTCAAGCAATCTTGCAGAGAAAGGCATTGATTGTCTGATTCCCGAGTCGGTGGGCGTCCGCGTAACGTAACTCGTGATCTGAAATTGTGGTAGTCTTTTATATCATCATATCAAGACGAGAAAAGAAAGTAAAGAAGGCAGCACCATTACATTCAAACGTCTTTTGCATTTCAACAACAGAATAAAAAGCTTTAGGTTATGATGCTGGAGCCCCCCGGTTTTTGGATGTTTTTCTATCTGCCCACCCTTCGGGATAGGTATCTATATTGCTGGCTGCACTTTTTCCTCCCCTAGTCCTTCTCCAATCTGACGGCCGGGTTGCTCTCGATGAAGTTGAGGTCGACCTTGTGGCCCAGCAATTCACGGATGTTGCTGACGCCGTATCTGTGGAGCAGAAGGTTATGGGGGTTAGACTTGATGTTCTAGACTTGTTGTTTGGGATGGCGAATTGCCGGAAAGAAAACTTACTTGATCATCGTGGGTCTCTCCAGACTCAGACCCCAACCGTACACGCGCATGTCCTTGGGGATGCCCATGGGCTCCAGCATCTCGGGCCGGAACATACCGCTGTTACCGATCTCGACCCACTTGCCCAGGCCATTGTGGTAGCCGAAGATCTCCATGCTGGGCTCGGTGTAGGGGTTGTAGGCGGGCTTGAAGCGCAGCTGGTGGATGCCCATCTTGGCGAAGAAGACCTCCATGAAGCCGATGAGGCCGCCCAGCGTGAGACCGTAGTCGGCGATGACACCCTCGATCTGGTGGAACTCGGCCAGGTGGGTGGCGTCGACGGCCTCGTTGCGGAAGACGCGGTCGATGCTGAAGTAGCGCGCGGGCCGCGGGTTGGCCGCCAGCTTGTGCAGCACGTAGGTCGAGACGGAGGTCGTGTGGGTGCGCAGCACCAGGCGCAGCGCCTCGTCCGCGTCCCAGGGGTAGCGGTAGCCGATCGAGCCGTACTTGCCGGTCTCGTGGACCGCGCGCACGTCGTCCCAGTATTGCTTGTAGTCGAGGGGTTTTGTCGACGACGATGACGAAGAGGAGGAGGATGTGGTGGGCTGGAGGGTCTTGATCTGGTGCGGGTCGTTGGCCGGGTCCTCGCGCGGGGGGTCGGCCTTGACGGGGTCGGCGATGTAGAAGGTGTCTTGCAGGTCGCGGGCGGGGTGTTGCTGGGGCACGAAGAGGGCGTCGAAGTTCCAGAAGCCCGTCTCGACGAAGCGGTTGGTCGGCATCTCCTCGAAGCCCATCTCGAAGAAGATGTTGCGGAACTCCTGGCGCACCTTGTTCAGCGGGTGAAAGGTGCCCGCCGGGGTGGGCGCGCCCTTGGCCTTGAAGTTGTACGGTTTCAGCTGCGCCGTCTTCCACGAGCCGTTCATCAGCATCTCCGCCGTCAGGTCGGTCTCCTCCTTGACGAACTCGCGGGCGTACTTGGGGCCCTTGGCGATCTGGAAGGTGATCACCTTCTGCACCGTCGCCAGCTTGCGCCGCTTCAGGTCCGTCAGGGCCTTCGCATCGGCCACCGACTGCGTCTTCTGCACCGTCAGCAGCAGCTCGCGGGTCTCGTCGACGATCGTCTCGGTCGCCGCCCGCAGCACGTCCTTGTCCTTCTTGATCCAGCCCTTCTTGAACGCATTGCCCTGGCCGACCTTGGCGGTGTCCTTGCCGACCACACCGGGGAGGTCGCCAATCTTCAATCCATCCAGAGCCGCCAGCACGGCCTGGAAAACCTTGGCCTCGTGACTGCCATTGGTGGCAATCTCCTCACCCTCCGGCGTCAGAACGGTGATTTCCTTTTCGATGGTGTCATACTCGACCATCTGTCGGGAGGCTAGACGGTCGAGCGCAGCCTTGATATTTAGTGAGGGGGTGGAGGGGAAGGCTTCGCTGGAGAGGATGGAGGCGTCGGACGCGGACAAGGCGTCCAGAATGGGTTTCGTCATATCGGTCGCCATGACTGCAAGCCGTGGAGTCCCCAAGAAGGCGGAGTCCGGAGGATGTTGTGGGAAAAGAAGGAGGGGTCTTGCAGAGGAGGAGGGGTCTTGAGAGGCACCGATCAGACACTGCCCACTTCACAATTATGACTCTTTTCGGGTACGCTCTTCGATTACGGCGGGCGGTTACGACCACCACCGTCGTCCCGTGACCTGCCACCAGTTTGAACCCCGCCATTGCGGATTTGTTCTTCAGTTGTTCTAAAGGGCGGCTGCTGGACTAGGTGAATTACACAAGAGCTTGTCAAGCGAGGATTGTGCTCCACCTTCGTTTTACTCGGATGTAGTACAAGAAGGAACGGTCCAAGATGTGTCCCTCTGTGCAGTTCCACGGAGGCCCCCGGACTAGACAAAACAAGTCAGTCCCATGATCTCGCCCCCAGGCCATCAAGAGACCGGCTCGAAACCAAATGCATTGTGTCAGCTTATGCCTGTGCGACCATGTATATTGACTAGCGGTGACAGGTATGAGCAGAATGATCTGAATCATCCATGGTTGATTTGCGCATATACCCTTCCTACTGCAAGGGGCTTGGGCCCAGAGTCCCCCAGAACAACAGCGAGGTCATGGACATCTGGAATGAAGGGTACTGTTTTTCTTCTGTTGAGGCTCTCTCCGTGTAGTTGGGTCACGATCGAAACAATCCGCCCAAATTAGGTTCATTGGAGAAGCCCTGTAAATGACCACTACGGCACTGTGTTCAACTCTTCGAGGGAGGATTCTGTTATCTACCCCGTGACCGACACGGGCCAAGCCGTCAAAATCCTCTGTCAACTTTGTACGACCGTGAAATGCCAGGTCTGGTGTGTATAATATGGTGGGCGGAAGATCCGAATGGACGGACGATATATATTCTCGACCGAACTAAGGCAGTTATGACCACCGAGTGCAGTGATCCTTGGCCTGGGGAACCTCCCGAAATTGATGGAGTGGGAACGGGGGCAGGGGGGTGAGATCCAATGATGCAGAAGCAGTTTCCACACTCCTACACCATCTTGGGTGACGTGAAGTATTATTTCTTGCTTGTCCCGTGGTGGTGGTGGCGGCTGGCAGCTGGCTGGATATACTAGAAGCGCAAGCATGGTTTTCCACTGGGCAAAACGGTAGACGAGGCCCAACACAGTTTAGCCCATCATTAGTTCTCCAGGATGTACTCCGTAGACACCCCAGCAATTTATTCTTGACAGGCAGGGTTAGCGTCCACCTCAAAAGCAAGATTTAGGGGGCGCCAGCTGCAACTTTTGCTCCTCTCAGTTTCTTTGGGGATGGCTTCCTTGGTAGGAGACCAGGCAGGTAGCTATTCCTGCTGGTCGATAGGTACATGTCTATCCATCTCTCTACATATCTACTGCTTGGGCAGAGTCACAGAAGTACAAATAATAGTTAGCTATAGTAAGTTATCAATTGATACCTCTATTCTCTGGCATTCCTCGATCCTCGCATGATAATCCCAGACAGGTTTAGTTGGATGGGACTACGAAAAGCTCTTCTCAGTATTGATCTTCATGATTGGTTTATCGGGGGTAATCGATGGGTCTTGCACGCGACTGTTGGGTCTGGAACTGGATCTCCCCCGGGGAGGGATCGTGATAGATGATTACCATCTGCTGTGTATATCTTCCAGGAAGGTATTAATGAATCTTGCTTAGGACATCCAGGATGGTGTGTTGCTGAAACAAGCACTCAATCTGCATCTCATTGTACAAGCTCTCTACCAAGGTTCATTCTCCATGCCTTAACAATGACGATCATATCGCTGCCCCCATAGAAAAGACTTCGAGAAGAGGGTTAGGAGGATCCCATTCCCATGGTTCTTCCTCCAGCTGTTACTCCACCCATCACCAGCCGTGGCCGATGCCTGTAGACAAAGACTTGGGTCATCGCCTAACACGGCTGGCAACCTAATTTACACCGGCCGGTGAACCTTGGGCTGTGAATCACTAGAATCACTATCGATTCCAGGACTGAACCTAATCATGTTAAGATTCGACCCCCGGGCGAACGGGCAATGTCTCGGGCATGGATGGACCTGTGCGCCTGGGCTGACGGTGGCACAATAACGGGCGGGAGAATATGCATCAGAAACGAAAGGTGAGAGAGCTACGTTTACCGTAGTTGGATCCAGCCTCTACACACCCACCTTCTCTTGTCGCGAGATGATACAATCAAGCAGGAAATTCTGGAAATATTAAGTCATAGATCAGTTTCTAGACCACCCACATCCAAGTTGTGCGGTAGCTAAGGCACCCGAAACATCATCTCATGGGACAGAGGTGTCCTGTTCCTGCGGTGGTCTGCCTGTCCAGACCGGTCTGCCCTGCATCATTCCTGATTTCCCTCGACTCCGTTATCCTCTCTCATTTTACCTCACTGTCCATTCCCCTCCCGTCTTGTATTTTTTTTGTTCTGCTTTCCTCTGGCCACCAACCAGGTTGTTGTTGTTCGATTGTGATAGGTAGATACAGGTCAGGGCCGTCTTCTTACGTCTCACCTGCCCTTGAAGCCACGGCAATACGAATGCCACTACGTAGTCGACTAGAAGGATACCTGTTCTTTGCCCCCTCCCTCCGACACCTTTCTGCCTCATCTTACGCGGTGCGGAGGAAGAGGAGGAGGATAGGGAGGTGATGGTGGGAATATGACCAGTCCTGCTAATCTGGAGGTCGTAGGGGGAGGTTGGCTACAAACACGCGTGCCTCGAGGTTTGCTTGTTTGATGCTGCGAGTCGATGTCTTTCTGCAAGGCGGCAATTGTGGTAGGGTAGGTCATCTCTCCCTCTCTATGTGTACCCAGGTGCAATGCACCTTTTTTTTTTTTTTTTTTTGAAAGGAAAAAGAAATTCCGTACTTCGTAGGTGTCCTTGATTCAGTGCATAGATTTATTCAATGTTAGCAGCCCAAAGAACCAATACTCTGCAGCCAAAGAAGACACGCCTCCCTCCCTTCCTTGAGTGTGAAATTCTTATGAAATGATCGGTAATTAGTCTAGCTAGCTGCCTTGTGCTTTTTGAACGCCCACAAAGCAGGGATGCCCGTGCGTTCGACTGCAGTAGCTACTATTTAGCAGTAGTGGTGGGTGGTCATTTGGTGGCGGTAAGGTACGGTATGGGCATCATTTTTTTGCCCTCTTCCTTCTTCCGTAACTACCCCGTACTTACCTGTCTATCTACCTGTCCGTCGTCCGTTCTTCTTGTATGCTCACGCGGCAAGGTCGCTTTCCGACACGCGCCAAGGGCACACACACAGAAGAGCAGTTCGGTGACACAGGGAGAGAGGACTGCGAATTTTTTTTTCCTTCCTGTCGTCTCTTTTTTTGGTGGGTGTGAGACACCTTTGAAGGGACCACTTACTATAACGGTATAACAACTGTCCCTATGAGACATGATTATCCCGTATTCGTTCTGGTTCAAATGTGGCAGTTCACGGGAAAAGGGACGAAAAAAGGGCAGAAAAATAAGTAGTTCGGTCAGTCCCCAGTCCCCCCACCACGCGAGCTGAAAAATGCATTAGTGACTACTGTCATGTTATGAACTCTCCGTTGTTGGTTCAACCAAGGGGAAAGGCATTTCTAAGCCCCGGGAACCAAGGGTCGTTGTCATATCTCGGTACGGTTCTTTGGGGAGGGCACCTCGGAGATTAGGTTAGATTATTTATCAACTTAAGGTCTGTCGGCCTGTCGGTCTGTCGGCCTGTCAAAAGAGAAGCAGTTGGGAATCTTAAGGTCAAATGCAGAGCGACGCGGAGTACAGAACAATATACAGATCAACTGGTCGACTAAATGCTTACTGGTCTGTCTATCTGTACATTCCAGCTGCTCTCCCATTTTCTGTGCGGGGAGAAGGAGGGGGATGAAAATCAAGGAAAATTCTCCAGATCCTCCGGGTGGGAAGATCAACCGGTGACTGGACTACTGGAGGAACTGTCCAGCGATCCCTTGATCATAAATACTATAAGTTACAGTCCGTGAGGTTGAATGCGCGCTGTCTGTTCACAATTGCTGCTTGATTTTCTGTTCATCGATGAGAGGCGTGAAGATCGCTATTGATGATAAGGTATTGTCTCATCTAACTAGTTTCAGCATCTCAGTAGATACAAAAGAAAGTGTAGGTAGTCAATAGTACTCCACTCCGTACAGCACCGCCAAACCCCTCTCCTCTCCCCTCCCCTCTCTCCATTGCATCCGATCACGCCTTGTAGCTTTGCCTCATCGCCGGGCGCGTTGCTTCCATCCAGCCTCATTTGACTTGCACACATGGGACTTGAATACGCCCTTCTCATTCGTACTTTGCCTGGATATTCTTCTATCTTATCATTCTTTTCTTCCTCATCATTATTCTGAGAACTGTAATTTGTTGTCATTTGCCCTGTTGGACGGCACACACCTATTATGATTAATTGTGTCTTCACACACACATTGACACACGCACACTGCTGACTGATCCGACATCGTTTCTCCTCCCCCTCCCCCTTTAACTCTCTCTCCCAATAATAATCCCATTTCTTCTTCCTCCCCGCCCGATCTCTATTGCGCGCTGCGCTTTGTTTGGATCTACTTGAACCCATCCATTCATCTGCTGTCCGTCCGTTGAATCTTATCCGGCTACTTTTTCACCCAGCCTGTCGTCGGCTCTGGTTTCCAACCTTTGACACTACTAGGTGCCTTACCTGCCTTAACCCACCGACCGACACTCACCTGCCTGTCTGTCTGCCTGCTCTACTGACTGTTTCTCAATTCTTCTTATTTTCCTCCCCTTTTTTGATTTTACCCATCCATAATCCACATCCACCTCCACCGAGGATCAACAAATTCTTTGAGCCTTCTTGGATCTTCGCGCCTACTCCACTCCACCGGGATAGACAGAAGACCGACAGAGAGATAGACACACAAACCACGAACCCCCATGTCGTCTTAACACCGAGCAGATCTTCACCTTAACCTTCTTCACCTTCACCTTTATCTACCTTCTTACCTTCTTTCAAAACATTCGTGTCACGAAACTACGCACTCCCACTCCCGATATCCGTCTAGGTAGGGTTGAACTTCTTTCTCTCTTTCTTTTCCTCCTTCCCACCCCCTTCCCCCCCCGTCACCGTCACCGTCAATTCGTCTCTTGCGGCCGACATTTGCCATTTGCTTGCTTACCCACTCTTGCCTCCTCTCACTCTTCCACATTTGTGCTGCCTTCATCCAATCATTCTCCCCCCGAGGCCAGTGCATAGATTTTCCATTATTTTGCTGCTATTTTGCCCCCCTCTCTCCAGTCTCAACACAACTTGTTGCAAAACTGCCTTCTCCCCTTTTCGGTCAACTGAACTACTGAGTGCTGCTGTTGCTGGCTGTCTTTCCCAACTCCGCTTTGCGATCTAGTCTCGATTTTTTCTGTGTTCTTTTTTTATTCTTTCTATTTATTCACATTTTTCTCTTATATTTTTTTCCCCTCTACTGCCCACTCGCCATTCATTCCTCATCTCCTGTTATCTTCCGGCCTCTTCTCATTCCTACATTTTCCCTTTAATTTTTCTCACCTCATTTGCCCATATTCTAATCTAGTCACCCTTCGGAGTCAAGTCCCGGCCACACCCCCCAATAAATTGACTTTCGACTTTTCCCCTCCTGGCCTTCCCCTCCGCCCGCTTCCCTTTCTTTGCCTTGTCTATTATTCTGCCCTTGGCTTCTTCCCTCCCTTTCTTTATTCTTTTGACATTCACCGTCACTCCCTTTTAATTGCTATATCTTTCTCATTCCCCCTTTCTCATATGCAGTGTCACAGCTCCTAAGCCGTCATCGGATTCCCCCCCGGAACAAAAAAAATCTCTTCTCGCCGCTTATACATATGTCCCCATCGGACTGAGAAGTCCTCAAGGCATAATGGCTGGCGCGGACGAGACGCTCGCGGCCGCTACTGCCATCCTCAGGGAGCTCGCCAGAGAATCCCCCGGTGCTCCCCCCTTCGACTTTGAATTCTCCCACACCTCATCTACCAATGGTTGCGACTCGAAAGTGGCCAAGTTACCAGGAGAGAAAAGCGCGGCAAAAGTAGCATTCGAACAGGAATTGGAGGCTCTGGTCCGACGAGTTCACCATCTGGAATTTCAATCTGTCAGTCATCGATCACCCCCAGGAATCACCCTTAAGGCCTTTCAGCCCACCCTCGTCCCTAGCGAGAACGATCCTGAGACCCCTTGGGCTTTTGGTCTCCCACGCTTGGCATCCTCTGACGGTTCTGACTCTTCTTGTCTTATACAGCAGCACAACCCACATCGCTCCCATGGATCAAGGCGATCAGCTCCCGGACCGGAAGATGGTGAAGCCGAGGAAGATATCGATGATGAGGACAGCGATGAGGACGAGGATCTGGGCTCAAGGACACGTCTAGTACGCGAGGAGGACATCAGTTACTTACGAAATCATGTGCAGAAACAGGCGGAGGAAATAAGCTTCCAGAAGGACATCATCGCTCAAGTTCGAGACGAGTTACAGCAGCAGGAGGAACAGACTCGCCGGGCTCTCACCAAGGTGGAAAACGAAGATGTCGTGCTATTGGAGCGAGAGCTACGTAAGCACCAACAGGCCAACGAAGCTTTCCAGAAAGCATTACGGGAAATTGGCGGGATCATCACTCAGGTCGCCAATGGTGACCTGTCGATGAAGGTGCAAATCCACCCCTTGGAAATGGACCCTGAAATCGCCACATTTAAACGTACGATAAACACAATGATGGACCAGTTGCAAGTCTTTGGTAGCGAAGTGTCCCGAGTCGCACGCGAGGTCGGTACGGAAGGTATCCTCGGCGGTCAGGCGCAGATCACAGGAGTGCATGGTATCTGGAAGGAATTGACCGAAAACGTCAACATAATGGCCAAGAATCTTACCGATCAGGTCCGTGAAATTGCCGCAGTCACCACGGCAGTCGCCCACGGTGACTTGAGCCAGAAGATCGAGAGCCGGGCTCAAGGTGAAATCTTGGAACTTCAACAGACGATCAATACTATGGTTGACCAACTTCGGACATTCGCCACGGAAGTCACGCGGGTCGCGCGTGATGTCGGTACAGAAGGTGTTCTTGGTGGACAGGCTCAGATTGAAGGGGTACAAGGCATGTGGAATGAACTTACAGTGAACGTCAACGCTATGGCAAACAATTTGACTACGCAAGTGCGTGACATTGCAACAGTCACCAAGGCGGTCGCAAAGGGTGATTTGACGCAGAAGGTCCAGGCCAACTGCAAAGGAGAAATTGCGGAGTTGAAAAACATTATAAATTCCATGGTGGACCAATTGCGGCAATTCGCCCAGGAAGTCACTAAGATCGCGAAGGAGGTCGGTACGGATGGTGTTCTTGGTGGTCAAGCAACGGTCAATGATGTGGAGGGCACATGGAAAGATCTGACAGAAAATGTCAACCGTATGGCCAACAATTTGACGACCCAGGTCAGAGAAATCGCAGATGTCACTACTGCCGTCGCCAAGGGTGATTTGACCAAGAAGGTTACCGCCAATGTCCAGGGTGAAATACTCGATTTGAAGAGCACGATCAACGGCATGGTGGACCGACTGAACACCTTCGCCTTCGAAGTCAGCAAGGTCGCTCGTGAAGTCGGTACAGATGGTACTTTGGGTGGTCAGGCCAAGGTCGACAATGTCGAAGGAAAGTGGAAGGATCTCACCGACAACGTAAACACCATGGCCCAGAATTTGACATCCCAGGTGCGAAGTATCTCGGACGTGACACAAGCTATTGCCAAGGGTGATCTTAGCAAGAAAATTGAAGTGCACGCCCAGGGAGAAATTCTGACGCTGAAAGTTACCATCAATCACATGGTTGACCGACTGGCCAAATTCGCAACCGAGCTGAAGAAGGTCGCACGCGATGTCGGGGTCGACGGCAAGATGGGTGGTCAAGCCAATGTGGAAGGAATTGCTGGAACCTGGAAGGAGATCACGGAGGATGTGAATACCATGGCAGAAAACTTGACCTCTCAAGTGCGTGCTTTTGGTGAGATCACCGATGCTGCAACCGACGGAGATTTCACCAAGCTTATCACGGTCAACGCTTCCGGAGAGATGGACGAGTTGAAGCGCAAGATCAATAAGATGGTTTCCAACCTCCGGGACAGTATTCAGCGTAACACGGCTGCTAGGGAGGCGGCCGAGTTGGCTAACCGCACCAAGTCTGAGTTCCTGGCAAATATGAGCCACGAGATTCGGACTCCCATGAACGGTATCATTGGTATGACGCAGTTGACGCTGGATACGGACGACCTCAAGCCGTATACCCGCGAGATGCTGAATGTCGTGCACAACCTTGCCAACAGTTTATTGACCATCATTGACGACATACTCGATATCTCGAAGATTGAGGCGAACCGCATGGTTATTGAAAGCATTCCGTTCACTGTGAGGGGAACCGTCTTCAATGCACTCAAGACCCTAGCGGTGAAGGCCAATGAGAAATTCCTCAGTCTTACGTATCAGGTCGATAACACTGTTCCCGACTATGTCATCGGTGATCCTTTCCGTCTGCGCCAGATTATTCTGAACCTAGTCGGCAATGCAATCAAATTCACTGAGCATGGTGAGGTGAAACTCACTATCTGCAAATCTGATAGAGAGCAATGTGCAGCCGACGAGTATGCTTTCGAGTTCTCAGTTTCTGATACAGGAATTGGTATTGAGGAGGACAAGCTGGATCTCATCTTCGACACTTTCCAGCAAGCGGATGGCTCGACAACGCGGAGATTTGGTGGAACTGGTCTCGGGTTGTCCATCTCGAAGCGCTTGGTCAACTTGATGGGTGGTGATGTTTGGGTCACGTCCGAGTATGGCCATGGCAGTACATTCCATTTCACCTGCGTCGTGAAACTAGCCGACCAGTCTTTGAGTGTTATTGCGTCGCAACTCCTGCCGTACAAGCACCATCGAGTCCTCTTCATTGACAAGGGAGAGAACGGTGGCCAGGCCGAGAATGTTATGAAGATGCTCAAGCAGATCGACCTGGAGCCTATCGTTGTGCGCAATGAGGACCACGTACCGCCGCCGGAAATTCAAGATCCTTCTGGCAAGGAGTCCGGCCATGCCTACGACGTGATTATTGTGGACTCTGTGGCGACTGCCCGACTGCTGCGGACATTCGATGACTTCAAATATGTCCCTATTGTCCTCGTCTGCCCCTTGGTGTGTGTCAGCTTGAAGTCCGCTCTCGACCTCGGTATCAGCTCCTACATGACGACGCCATGTCAACCAATTGATCTCGGCAATGGTATGCTGCCTGCCTTGGAGGGTCGTTCCACGCCCATCACGACCGACCATTCTCGCTCGTTCGACATTCTCTTAGCGGAAGACAACGATGTCAATCAGAAATTGGCCGTCAAGATTTTGGAGAAGCACAACCACAACGTGTCTGTTGTCAGTAACGGTCTTGAGGCTGTCGAAGCCGTGAAGCAGCGTCGCTACGATGTCATCTTGATGGATGTGCAGATGCCGGTAATGGGTGGATTCGAAGCCACCGGCAAAATCCGCGAGTATGAGAGGGAGAGCGGCCTCAGCCGAACCCCTATCATCGCGTTAACGGCGCACGCCATGTTAGGCGATCGGGAGAAGTGTATCCAAGCCCAGATGGATGAGTATCTATCCAAGCCTCTGAAGCAGAACCAAATGATGCAGACCATCTTGAAGTGTGCTACCCTAGGTGGTTCCCTTCTGGAAAAGAGCAAAGAATCGCGAATCTCCAGCAGCGGCGAGATGCATCCCGTCCATCACAGCCCCGCCGATGGCAAGCATCAGCGCCCAGGTATGGAGGCGAGAGCCTTGACCGCATCAGGTGCCATGAACGGCGGTAGTCTGGCTAGCCCGACTCTGGAGAAGGAAGACCTAACCATGGAAAGGGTAAGTTGGCTCACAGAATTACAAAAATGTGCTTATACTGACCACATCCATAGGCACTGTTGCGGTCCAACAGCTCGTGAGACGATTTCAAGATTCTTCTATTCTGCTTGTTTTTTTCTTTTTCATCTTTCGAGTGGCTTCGATGCAAATCATATACCCTATCCCTTCGCGCGCCTGTACGAAATGTTCACTGGCATGGTGACTTCTACGTCTTTCAATCAACATTCCTCCTTCGCATCATTTCAGTTGCACATGTTGCTCTTGGGAGCCTAAGCCCCTTAGTCTCATGTGTGACTGAACATGCCCAGCTCTCGCCATTGTCCCTCCTTCCCTCTCTCCTGCTCCTCGGGCGAATCCTCCATCTTTGCATACGTCTTGTTGCGAGTTCCCATTGTCGACAGTTCCAGCCATGGCCATTTATGCGTTGTATCTGACACGTTTTCGCGTATACTATATCTTTTTGTCTGATCTCGGATTGTGATTGTGACCTGTAAGGCCCATTTTCTCTGTGTGGTGTTTTGTGGCGCATGGAAACTTTTCTCTATGACTTGGTGGAAGAGAGAAGGGTTTGAGGGGGAGGCGGCAGGCTGCTCTTTTCAATTTCTGTCCTGACTATACTACATGTTTGCATGGAATGAAGATTGGCATGAGTTTGACTCCGCACCCACCCACACCCACCAAAACTTCCCTGTATGTCTGTAAATGGTTGCAACTTTTCTTTGTTTCTCTTGCATATGTTTCTCTCCACCTTTTCCATTTTCGACCATATTAAATCCTTATTATACTGATGTGTTCCGGCATCACCCTTCTTATTCTAGCCTGTGTCCTTTTTTTTTTCTCTATATTCTACTTACGGCGATGCACCATTTTTCCTTCCTAAGATCTGTATTGTATTTAACCTATTTTCACTTCCTTCTGCTTCTAGCCCAATGAGGAGTGGGATTTTGAGAATGATACTCATGCTATGTCTAGACCGAAAAAGTATATTCTCGTCGGCGCGAACGAAAAGCTAGTGTGCGTGTGGGAATGGATGGAAGATTTTTCATATTCTACATATAATCTGCATTGCTAGCATGTTCAGTACAGTGACTGGGTTCACGATAACTTTTTTTTCCTTTTCTCTATTAAACTTGTATGGTTAGCACCGTAAGGGAGGTTTGAATCTAAAGCCTAGACTGTACTGCACTGCACTGCACTGCACTGACTGCACCGCAACTGCCCTAAACACTACGAATATGGTGATATACTATGAGTATCACTAAACACCGTGAATATCACAAACACTTTAGATCCGCTAAAGCACTAAGTTATAAGCTAGAAGACTAATCACTGCTAACTAGGTAGCTAGCTACAGGCTGGCGTGCGTATATAAATAAAACATTGAACTTTTTCAATTATCGTCCCCATTTTTGATGAGGAAATTAGATCAGAATTAGACACAGAGAAAAACAAAGTGCCAGAGAGAATACAACAATAGTAGAAAGCAAAGAGAAAAGCAAGCGAATTACATAACTATACTCATCACCAAGAGCAACCCTCACACCCCCAAGTGACCACGGGCACAACACACAGCCCCTGGATTTGAGGGCTTCGAAGTGATTAGGTTAGATTAAATCAAGAATCCTCGAAAATCCCGCCGAATCATCGGGAATCGGAACTCGTGGTGGCGTGCGGGTAGATCGCCCGCTGGGGCTGCTGGGGCTGCCGCTGCCGCTGGGGCTGGGGCTGGGGCTGGGGAGTGAGGTAGTGGCTGTGAGGGACGGGATGGTAATGATGACGATGATGAAGAGACAGAGGAGGATTTCCTTGAAGGAGTAGGAGTTGGGGAGAAGAATGACCCCGTCACGGTGGTGGAGGAGATGTGTGTGGGCGTTTGAGAGGACGAGGATGACTCTTCCTCTTCCTGCTCGACTTCTGGTGGGAAATGGGGCATGGCGAAGGGGAAGGGAATTGTTGTGGGGATGGGGAAGGAGGTGGGAATTGGGAAGGAGGGCGACAGTGACATTGCAGGTGGTGGACGGGGTAGGGAGGTGGGTATTGGTGCGGGCCCGGGGAATGGATGAATTGGGAGGATGCTCACATTGGCGCTGCTGGTGCTGGATGAAGGGATCTTCGAGAGTGTTGTCTGTGATGGTCGAATGGTGCGGGTGCGGCTGCGAGTACGTGTGCGAGTGCGCGTGGTGATTGTGCGTGTTGGCCGCGGGGATTTCGTCTCGATACCACCACCGCTTGTGATCGTAGGGCTGGGACGGGGCCCGGAAATGATGCCTTCCCGGTTGGCGGTGGAGAGGATGGAGAGTATCCCGCTGCTCGGCGGGGTCTGTACTGGCGCAGTGGAGGAGGATGCCGGGATGCAGATGGGGAGGTCTTCGGGGAGAACGCAGATCAAGATGTCTTCTTCTTCCTCTTCCTCCTCCTCTTCGGCCTCCACTTCGTCGTAGGTGTTGCTGGGTGTCGCGCTTGGAGTCACGCTTGGGGTGACGCTGGCTGGTAGCACACCGCTGCTGTGGTTGGTTAAGACATGTCTCAGGGCGAGGGGGTGTACTGTAATTCGGCTGATGCTGGTGCTACTGCTGCTGCTGCTCGTGCTGGAGCTGAAGCCGCTCACGATTACAGTGACCGTGTCCACTGAGGGACAGGGGGGACACTGCACAGAAGGGCATGCAGGCTCGCTTTCTTTCGGCCAAGGCGTGGGATCAGGCAGGATCTTCGCAGAACTACTGTCGGGAGGTGTGATCTTGCTGGGTGTCGAATTGGCAACGCTGGATGGGAGGGAGTGAGTGGGGTGCACGACGCCTCCTGACGAGGGAATGTGAATTCTGCTGCTGCTGCTGGAAAGAGGAGGACGTGGGATATGCTCGGGAGCACCATCGTGAGGTGTAGGTGTTTCCTGGACGCTGTCGTGCGGCACAGAATGGAATGGGTGTGGTGGAGGTATAACAGCTTCAGAGGAGGAAGACACCACTCCAGGGGGAACATGAGCAGCCTCGGACGACGTGGGTGTAGCCGTCAATGAGATAGCTGGGGAAAATGGGTGGATTGGATGAGCATCCCAATGGTCTCCGTCTTCATATGGAGGTATGGTACTCGATGTAGCTGAGTGAGATGGATGCACGACACTCTGAGAAGAGGAAATGGGCGTGCTGGAGGTGGAGTTTCCTCCTTGAGATGCAGACACAGGACTCGAAGACTTAGTTCCTGTTGTGGATAGCGCCCCAGAGCCTCCTGCAGGGATTCCTGGATATTGAGGAATAGCTGCTACGCCGGGGCCAAGAGCCCAGGAGGTCAAGACCACTGCTAGAACTTGCTTGGAGGAAGGCATCGTAGACTGGCAATAATTTTGATCTTTCCGAAGGCTGTTTACCGAGGGTAAAATGTGAAGCGAGGCTGGCAGCCAGAAAATCGCATGTCATGGAAGAAGTGGCATTATATGAACTCTATGACTTCGTCTCTATGTAATCCGGGAATCGAAATGTGTGATTGCCTTCCATCCCCTCAAATCACAATCCAATGAGCTTTAATTGCTCATCGTGACAACAGACGCGTGTGATGGTTAGCCACCGTAGGTTTGTTGGGCAGACCTCGTCGGAAGCGAAGCCCGCAAACAGACGTCCGGCTCGCCTCATGGTACCGCGAATGGCCAGCTGCATATATATCTATACCTACTGTTTCTGTGATATGGCTCAAAGCCTCCAAAAATGATATTAAATATTAGACTGGGAAGTAAGATTGATACCCATCCGTGTCATAGGTTAGTAGATCACGAGAGCCTGGCGCCAGCCGACACGGACTAATTTGGCTGCAGTAACGCAAACAAGGCCAAGAGCATAGCAGCAGATCGTAAAGGTGATGAGACCCCAGTACTTCCCATCGCACCGGGAAAGAATCACACCAGCGATAGGCATGCCAGTAAGGGTTCTAGAATGTTCGTCATTAGCCCTGCAAAATCATTATAGGTAAGTAGGGAATCGCCTTACCCGAAACTGACGATCGTGTACGCTGTGGCATAGTATCTGCCATAATTCTCGATCTTGCAGAGCTGAGAGATACAGACTGGCGTAAGACTGATGTTACTGCCACTTGCAAATCCAAAAATGACACAGTACACAATCATGACCGGGACACTGTCGCTCGCTGGAAGCCAGAGGCATGCGTTGCATACAAGACACAAGGCAACAGTGACGATGAGAGTATTGAAGCGGCCCAGATAATCAGCAACAAAGCCAGGAATACCTCGTCCGAAGAACGAACCAGCGTTCAAGATTGCGAGCATTTGGTACGACAGTTTTGTCGAGACGCCATTATCCAATGCGTAGGAGGAGATATAACTGAGTGGGACAAAAAGTCCCCATTCGATAAAGAAGATCCCCAAGGTTGTGAGGGTGAATACAGGATCCCGAAAGATACGGAAATCGGGAAGAACGTTCTCTTTCGACGCCGGTTTCTTGGGCAACCGGGATTTGATGAGTAGGCATGCGGCTAGCAGCGTGATGAGACAAATGAGAGCAATGACTCGAGTTGCCCATGCCCACCCTATCTTGGGGAATAGAGCTTCCAGTGCCAGGGGGAAGATAACGCCACCGACGGAGCCACCCGTTGCGGCGATGCCCGTCGCGATCCCACGCTTCTCGTTGAAGAAGTGTCCGATGGCAGAAATTGCTGGCGTAAACAGCAACGAGGCTCCGATACCCCCTGCAACACCTATTACTAGCATGAAGTGCCAGTACTGCGTGCAGAACCCCAAGGCGATCATCATCGCCATGATCAGCACAGCTCCGGCGCAGACAAGAAATCGGGGTCCTTTGGCGTCGAAGATAGGACCTATCTGAATGCCGCAGAAGAAAGTCAGGAATGCGTAGACGCCGAAGATCCACCCAATGCTGCCAGAGCTGTAGTCCTTCAATTGATGGCTCTCAATGTACGCCTGTAGTGTGCCGATGGTATTCACCAGACCAAGAGAACCAACGAGGCCCATGAAGCTTCCAAAGACTACCAACCAAGCTTCTAGTCCACCTTCAGGATAGGTGTTGCCATCCGCATCGGTCGTCCCGACAGTCACGGGGACACTATGCGCTGAATCGTCCGAGGGGAATTCGCCAGATGAAGGCCTGTACAGACCGCCTTCAAGTGTCGTTGATGCACCTTGCGGGAGGCCATCGTTGACTTGTGTGTCTGGCTGTTTCTCCTCGAATGCTGGGGTTGTCGTTTCATTCGAGTCATTGAGCTGCGTGGTGTGTACAGTAGACTCCACGCGCGCGTTGTCCGATGACTCGAAATTCGTCGCCATATCAATTGCGGTACCGGCGGGAAGGTGGACCACAGACGATTCGGAGGGGGAAGCTTATTTCGTTCCCGTGTTTTCAAACGGCCACTATGAAAGTTGAAAGAGATACAGCGAGGAAAAGACAGATGGAAGGCACCCAGAAATAAGTAGAAGTTCTACAGCAAAAAGCAACCATCCACAGCACAGTCCGCCACCAGTCTTCAGGTGCAAGCAAATATGCCCGAACGAAACAGCCAGGTACCCTTGGAAAGCACGGCGGCAAAAGAAGAAAAAAAAAAAAGTGGGAAGAGAAAGGAATGAATGGATATTGAATACTAAGCTAGCCGGGCAACCGATTAGTGGGTGGTATTCAGTGCTCCACAGTGGGGAGAAGGTTGTTTGCTTGGGCCTCTCTGCTTCTTCTCTCATACAGCACTTACGATGAGCAATTACTCCACATCTTCACAGTCTCAGACTGACCACAAATCATGTATCATGGTGACAGACCGCTAACAAGCGAGGCAAAGGAGTCAAGGGCCTTGTCGAGTCGGTTTGTAAGAGTTCAGGGTCTGGCTGTGTCTGCTGGCTTGGCAGGTCAGAATATACGCTAAACGCCATTGGGAAGGTGGAACGAGAATTGGAAGAGGAAGATCGAAGATGAACTGTATCCTAGAGTCAGCCACAAGTAGACTTGTGACTCACACTTTATAGCTCAGAATACAGACAAAGGAGAAGAAGAGAAGGAGGTTCTCGGATTGAAAAGACAGGAGGGAACCTCGAATTGAACGGAGATGAGGACATTACGTAAGGTAGGCTCCTAACCCAGGCCTTTTTGGGCAGGCGTGCTTCAAGCCTGTGCTGCTGTTACTCCAAAGCAGTCCTATCACGCAGTCGTCTCATAATCTCTTTCTCTCGTTCAGGCTGCTGTATGAGCCCTTAAACCGACCACCGTAAGTCCTTCAACGCAGAGATTGGACCAGGATGCTATCATTGCACAACAGACGAGGGGAAGGATGTGCAAGTAACCGTAGGAGTATGCGCGACACACTAACACTCGAGACAGAAGGAAATGAAACTCCCATGCTGTGTGACTGCTCACGTATGGTTGTCGGTCACCACCATTGCCCTGTTCGACGTTTGGGCATCTCGGCTCCGGAAGTAGCACATCCCCAACTGTTCAACATGTTCAAGTGGGATGATTTCCTTGTGGTTTTAAAGGCAGGCTATTCGCAATTGATTCCTTTGCAATGTTCTTTCACACACTGTGTATACCTGGGTGGTTCCTATCTCTAGGATTGCACCCCACAAAGGCTGGTACCATGCCAGACCCCCCAAAGCCGCGCATCAGCGAGGGACCAGTGACACTTCGCAACTGGCCCCGCCATATTGCTTGGTTTAACACGACTTTTATCATCATAATACCGTTACTTGGCTGCATTGCTGCTGTCTTCACCCCCTTGCGACGATCCACTATCATCTGGGCTGTGCTCTACTACTTTTGGACTGCGCTGGGGATTACCGCTGGCTATCATCGGTTATGGTCACATAGAACCTACGAAGCGTGAGTGTTTCTCTGCGTATGAGCTGGCTTCATAGCCCCAAACAGCTTGTACACAAGAACATGATTGTTGACGGGCATTTTATCTTTCAGGGGCCTACCGCTCAGAATTTTCCTGGCCTGTGCCGGTGGAGGCGCCGTGCAGGGCTCGATTCGCTGGTGGGGTGCGAAACATCGCGCCCATCACAGATGGACGGACACGGAGAAGGACCCATACAATATCCGGAGGGGCCTGTTATACTCCCACGTGCTATGGATAATACTGAAGCAGGACCCCAAGCACTGTGGTCGGCCAGATATCTCTGACTTGAACGAAGATCCAGTAGTCATCTGGCAGCATCGGAACTATATCAAATTTGTGCTTGGCTTTGGCTTGATCCTACCGATGGTCATAGCTGGCTTGGGATGGGGTGACTGGAAGGGTGGCTTGGTGTATGCTGGCATCTTGAGGATGTTTCTATTCCAGCAGGCAACTTTCTGTGTCAATTCATTGGCACATTGGCTGGGAGATCAGGCCAGTTTTCATGTGCTTTGGCGAAGGTGTCCTGATCTGCTGACAAGCTTTAGCCCTTTGATGACAGGAACTCGCCCCGCGACCATATTCTTACCGCGTTGGTCACACTTGGTGAGGGTTACCATAACTTCCACCACGAGGTAAAGCAATCCGCTTGGGGACCGGATTCCATTTCGAGATCTTCACTTATCGTTGTGGTGACCTTGGATATGCTAGTTCCCCTCGGATTATCGCAACGGCATCGAGTGGTGGCAGTATGACCCCACGAAATGGGCTATTTGGATTTGGTCCAAATTCCGTCTGGCCTCGAACCTCAAGCGGTTCCGCACCAATGAGATCGAGATAGGCCGTGTACAACAGATGCAGAAGAGACTTGACCAGCGGGTGGCCAATCTCAATTGCAGTGTTCCCCTGAACTAGCTGCCTGCAGTCGACCAATTGAATAAGGGATTGTTCTGTTTGGAAAGTCTCTTGACTGGCCAGCCTGACACATTGTGCTGGAGCCTAATGATAATGCTAGATAACCTGTGGTCATTATTCCACCGTCGAGCCAGGTTGTTTTTGAGCGTGTATCAAAATCTGGATGCCTCGATACATAGACTTATTTAGTTGAGGCTAGCCCAGGTTGAAGTCTTATCATGGATCTCGATTCCGAACTTCATGTCTTTGTATACATTTTCGAACCACAGTAAGCATTTGTGCTTGGGAATATCCGTCATTCGTACGTTGACAACAATATGCTGACGAATTTGTTGACTTCAGTTCTGGGTACCATTGTGTAAGTAGAACTGGATTCGATGTTCCCAACAGAGGGACTTCCGCAAACTGGCTATAATGTGGCCTCTAAGAATCCTTTGGCAAGATGTGTTGTGCTTCGTCTGTAACTGAGATGCACCCTTGAAGTGCCAACTGAGCGTAACATTTCACACCGTTCAGCGATCACTGGAAGTGCTTATCTAGACATTGACTGTGGCGGTACCCGCAGCTTCTGAAGAATATCTGCCGGATATTAAAGCCTCGACTGCAAAAATTCAATCGTGTTTCTCAAGCTATAGCAACAGAAGAACGCGTCTCTAGCTTCAGAGGGGAGGTTGGAGTATGTTGTAGCGGGAAAGGTGCTTGTTTTGACCGGAAACACAGCGGCTGTTCTGGTCGAAGGCACTCGGCGAAAGCTTGTCCTCGGCATTCCTATCGCGGCTAGACTAGTCCATCAGCTCCATTCTATCTCCGTCGTACTCCGTCCCTCCTCCGTGAGACACTGCGAAATTAACCACGACCCATCACATCATCCCACATTGGGGAAATGAGGACAGCAAGGTTTGAGCCAGTAAGTGCTCGTCTTTCTTATTGTCTTATCTGTGCAAATTCCATCACGTTATCACCTTCCTTGACGATCGCTAGCATTGTCGGCACTAAGCGGCCAACGACTCTGTTTGTGTATTAGCCCGGAGAATTCTCCACAGCTTAGGGACCTATCGCTTGCGGCCGGGATTGAGCGTTTAATGCTACGTGATCCTGCCCTCATGTCTATCGCTATGTCTACCGTTTGATCCAGCTGCCGTCTTGCCAATCGAATGCATTCACTCCCATATCGCCCACCCAGCATAATCAAACCAACACGGGATGGGACTGGTGCGATGTAATCTGCATGTTGCCAACACTGCAAGGTCCGGTGCCTGAAAACAATCGGCTATGGTGAGGAGATAGCCGAGCACCATGCAAGGTCCCATCCTCCCCTGCCAGAAGCTTGCAAGCAATCAAAAGAACCTGTTAGCCTGTTCATGCTTCTCCACTTGGTCATATGCGGCCCTCTCAAGCCAACGCATCGATTGAAGCTTTCTCCGAACCTAAATGGCTCCACACGATGACCGTATCAAATAGCTCATCAGCCTATCTTTCTTGATAGGTGATACAGCTTGAGTGATATAAATACCCCTCTTTCTCTTGCTTAGACTCAAGAACAGGCAAGCAAGTTTTTGTCACAAGGCTTGTCCCACATCACACTACCAGTATGCTGTTCCGCAGTCTACTGTCCACGGCTGTCCTAGCGGCCTCGCTATGCGCAGACCATGCATCTGCTGGTAAACTTGGCCGGTTTGCTCAAAGAACCCGCGACGCCAAACCGGCTAAGCGCGCAGGAGAGGTCGCGAAGCGGTCGCACTCGACCCCTGTTGAAGACTACCGGTTCTACAACAACGCTACGCATGGTATGTTGCCCGGAGCAGTGATCAAAGGACAGAGCTGACTTGGATCCTAGCCTTCCGTGTGAAGAGTCTGCCTGATGTTCATTACGACATCGGCGAGACATACTCTGGCTTGATCCCCATCGAGAAGGACGATCCGTCGAGAGCACTTTTCTTTGTCTTCCAACCTACCGTTGGTGCGCCCGTGGATGAGGTCACCATCTGGTTGAATGGTGGCCCTGGATGCTCGTCTCTGGTCCGTTCCTAGCATTATTCTTGTTTAACTTGAATACACTGCTGATGTGTTTACAGGAGGGCTTTCTCCAAGAAAATGGACGGTTCACCTGGCAGCCTGGAACATACTTGCCCGTTGAGAACCAATACTCATGGGTAAACCTGACTAACGTGCTGTGGTAAGTTGCCATCTCTGGTATGCCACTAGAGGCACCCGAGCTAAGCCAACCATTTAGGGTCGACCAACCTGTTGGCACGGGCTTCTCTGTTGGCACCCCAACTGCAGTGTCTGAGGAGGAGATCGCACAGGACTTCATTAAGTTCTTCAAGAACTGGCAGCAGACCTTCGGCATCAAGAACTTCAAGATCTACGTGACTGGCGAGAGCTATGCAGGCCGCTATGTCCCTTATATCTCAGCTGCCATGCTGGACGAGAAGGACACGGAGTACTTTGACCTGAAGGGTGGGTGTCTCCAAGAACTTTGAGAACGGATCTGTTTGACTCATTACCCAAACTACAGGAGCTTTGACCTACGACCCTGTCATTGGCCAGTTCGACTACGTCCAGACCGACGCACCGGTCGTGCCCTTCGTCCAGGACAACAAGGTCCTCTTCAACTTCAACGCCAGCTTCCTGGCCGAGCTGGAGCAGCTCCACGAGTCCTGCGGCTACAAGGCCTTCATCGACGATTATCTCACCTTCCCCGCCAGCGGGGTCCAGCCTCCGAAGAGCATGAACTACTCGGGCGACTGTGACCTCTGGGACCTGATCAACAACGAGGTCCT